CTCTTAGAAACTCTCCAAAAAATGCTGAATAATCTTTCGAATAGATAACAGTCGGAGAAGCACTGATTGTAATTTTTGGATTTACATGCACTTCAGGACTGTTTTAGATAATTGTTAATGTTACTGTGATAGACCTCACCGTTTACTAGTTGTGTCTACGCCACAACCTGCTTTCGCCTCTTATATTTAATCAAATGTCAACTGCAATTTTGGTGTGTCGTACGCAGATACACCCCTTGTTAAATGTAAGATAATGACTGCTATCCAAAACCAACTTACTATATCAGATGATAGATGCTGATTTCAACTCCTTACTAATTGACTGGGGTGAAGCTTGTCAACAATCACCTTTGACAACCGTCATGTCAACAACACTAATGGCCGGTGCCTTAACAGGATCCTTCATCGCTGGGTGGTTAGCTGATGCGTATGGACGACTGCTGGTTCTGAAAGGTTTTGTCTTCTGTCAAAAACACTAACTGCTGAATAGACATACTGAATAAACAAATTTACAGGATGTCTGCTACTTATAAGCATTGTGAATGGTGTTTTCTCGTTTGTTGCTACCGTATCATGGTTGCTGTCAGCGACACTCCTATTTACTCTAGGTGCTGGATGTGGCGGATATATGGTATGCAAGTGGACTGTTGTATTTTTTTTTTTGTTTGAGGGAGCGTTTGAAAAATGAAGATAGAGGATTTCTGAGGAATTATGACGCTTGCGTAAAATGATTTCAAAGAATAAGTTTTGCAGATTTTGGACTGATTTCCGAGTGAGCGAAAGGTACATGTTTTTTTTTTTCTATTTTCCTTCGTTGCACAACCGAATGGGTTTTACGCGCACGTGGTGTAAACACCAATCATCAAATCAGATATGAGAAATCACAGATACGAAGTTGGTGGCGAAGGCAATTTACATTAGGATACTCCAATTCATTGAAAGTACTGTTCATATTGTTTGCTGGTTCATTATGCAAAAAAATTAAAAAGTGCTTGTAAATGTAGAAGATTGTTGTTCATGTTTTCTTATCAAAAAATATTCGAACGATCAACGCTTGTTAGCATAAATTAGCAAAGTGCTACTTCAGAA